ATACACAGATGGTGTCCGTGGCCGCATGTTGCGCTGCATAAGGGAGTTTTTGACTAACCAAACGTTTCAGGTTAGGTTTGGTTCCACACTTTCAGACGTTTTTCCTCAGGAAAATGGCGTCCCTCAAGGGGCTGTATTGAGCGTCACTTTGTTTGTGGTGAAGATAAACAGCCTTGCAGCAGTGATACCTCCATCAGTTTCATATTCATTATATCTAGATGATGTGCAAATTTCCTTTTCATCCTGCAATCTCTCAAGTTGCAAGCGCCAGCTTCAACTCTCAATAAACAAAATGAGCAATTGGGCCGATGAAGATGGTTTTAAGTTTTCATCTGAAAAAACTGTGTGTGTGCCCTTTTCACTACGTCGTGGTCTGGTGCTTGATCCTTGTTTGCAGCTCTATAGCGCTGCAATACCTGTAAAATACGAGCACAAATTTTTAGGTGTTATTTTCGACAAGAAATTTACCTTTCTGGCTCACATCAAGGAGCTGAAGCAGAAATGCTTGCGGTCGTCTAACATTCTCAAAGTACTTTCACACACATCCTGGGGGTCTGACAGGCGATGTCTCATCCGATTGTACAACTCACTGGTCCGTTCCCGTCTAGACTATGGAGCAACTGTGTACGGATCAGCACGGCAATCTGTCTTGAAAATGCTGGATCCGGTCCATCAGTTTGGCCTTCGACTTGCCACAGGAGCATTTCGGACATCGCCTGTTTTGAGCCTGTATGTAGATACACATCAAATGTCACTAGAGAAGTGCAGACAATATCTTAGCTTGTGTTATGGGTACAAAGTGAAATCTGATCCTATGCATCCATCAAACAATTTGGTTCACACCTCCATGTTTTTGCGGCTTTTTGAAAACAAACCTAGCATAATACGCCCATTAAGCTTCCGGCTTCAGAGCATTTCTTTCTCCCTGCAGCTGGCTCTTCCTGAAAGTAACTTGGTTAAGGAAACACAAACTGTTGCCCCTTGGGCAGTAAGATTGTCATGTGACTGGTCGTTTACAAAATATAACAAAAGGTCAGAGTCACGGCTTGTGGTTTGGGCGCCGTGGGACCCGGGAAGGCAGGGAGCCAGCCTTTTGGGGGGAAAGCGTTTTATTCCGGTTCGAAGTCGTGCTTGCACCAGCTCCAGCCCACCGCGTTCCTTTTCTCCTCGCGCACCGTCTCCAGCCTCGGTCCTTCCGTCGTCACTTCGTCTTTTTCTCGTCGCACCAATCAGCGCACACCACGGGTAACAAAAATATAACAATCACAAAGCCCGATAACCCGTCGGCGACGGCGCGCGCTGAATCCGCTGCGTCGTGCATGCCACATGCATGACAGTCAGTTAACCATCAGGTTCTCCTCAAGGAATTTCTTGCATTACAAGAGAAATATCAAGACTATGTGCAATTTTTTACTGACGGGGCGAAAAGCTCGTCTTTCGTAGGTTCCGCAGTATATTCGGAACACTTTAGTAGAGCGAGACGTATTGACTGTGTTGCAAGTATTTTCACTGCTGAGCTTTATGCTGTGCTCATGGCGCTTGAACACATCTTCGAAGACCGTGTGAGGAAGGCTATTCTGTTCGTAGATTCCCAGAGTGCTCTACTGGCTTTATGTTCTCTTACCGTTACGAAGAATCGCCTCGTTCAACAAGCGCGTGTCCAAATGAATCGCACTCTCCTACTTGGCCTTGATATAAAACTATGCTGGGTGCCAAGCCATGTAGGTATTCCAGGTAATGAGGCAGCAAATAGATTGGCTGCCTCTGTTAATGGTGGCCTAAAAGCATCGGTCGGCCTACCTTATGAGGATTTTAAACCAGTTATTAAAAAATCAATTTATGAACTTTGGGATTTGGAATGGAATCAAGAAACGGACAATAAACTACACAATATCAAACCTTGTTTAGGATTATGGGAGAGTTCCCACCAGAGGAACCGGTTCTACGAGGTCTTGATGTGCCGCTTGCGTATTGGTCACACTCGTTTAACGCATCTATATTTACTTTGTAATGATGATACCCCGCGCTGTGAGTATTGTGGCAAAACGTTGACTGTTTTACATATTCTGTGGCACTGTAGGTACTTGGACCAAAAACGACAAGTATGTTTTTCCACGATTTTTAAATCCCATGTTCCATTTCACCCCAAATTTTTGCTAGGAAATGAACCTCTTGTACCTTTCAGTAAAGTTTTGGAATTTCTTAAAATAACAGGCTATATCTACACCTGTTATAACCCCTCCTTTTTCACCATGTTTTTTTATTTTGAGATAATTCCTTATTGATTGTAACTTTTATACTTACCTGAAATTCATATCCGTATCTTTTACACGATTCATGTTAATACTTTTATTGTATCACCAGCTACTATAGCTCTGTCTTCTCCTTAACTCTTTTCCTGCAATAGTGTATGCACCTGGCGCATTTTGGCCTAGTTGCTCTCGCGCCATAAGACTCCAATCAATCAATCAATCGCCGCGATTGACTGTATTTTTATTGCCGGCGGAGAACGCCCAAAAAGAAAACGTAATGCGAGTATTGGGCATGCTGACTTTATTGAAGACAACGTATGCTTGTTGTTTGCGGTTCATGTGTTTGCGTGTGTTCTCTGCTGGCGTTCGCTCCTTCACCAATTTAAACGTGTCTTTCTGTCGTCGCTTCGCGTGCATATTTTCTTCGAAATGGCTGAGAAGGACCTGGAGAATTAACAAAAGTCAATGTCTAGGATACAAAGGACCTTGTTCGTTTTTATACCTTTAAAGACGGATAGACCGCCGCATCGATTCTTACCATCGACTCGGTGTCACTTCATAGACACTTTGGTGTAGCGTCTAGCAAGCAACTAAAAAAAAAGGTGGGCAAAGCGTGTGGCAACCCTCCACAGACCTTGCGTATTCGTGCTCGTCGTGCTCTAATAAGTGATCGGTGGGCCATTGTCCGTGGGATCCTGTGCACCACGTGACCACGCTGGAAAAAACGCACCTTTGGTGGTCACATGACCACGTGACCATGTCCCGTGGGGGTCATGTGAACATGGTCAGTTGGATCCCGCCCACCACGTGACCAAACTGCGAATAGCGCGCCTATGGTGGCCACATGATCACGTGACCTTGTTGCGTGGGGTCACGTAATTACGCAGCGACGATTAAACTTGTAGCTCATGGCGTTGCGCATGAGATACTTGCGTGACACTTGTGTCAGTATGGTTGTGCAAAGTGCCCGAAATTCGAACTTAAAATTGCTGCAACGCAACTTTAAACCGCGTGGAAGCAAATTAGTCACGGCTTCCGGTTTTAGCGCACGCGCCAGCCTTTGTCCCTACAATAGGCGAAATAAAAGGCAGTACATTGGGGGATAAGCGAGTGAGGAGAGGACAGGTTCATGGTAGCCGGCAGGTAGACCGGCATAACATACTTGTTTGTTGCTGTTGTTAAAAAACATCTGTATTAAGTCTAATAAAGGAAAAATAGAAAGGGAGAACGATGGGTGGCTACCCCTATTCCGGGTCCCATTAAATTTCTATCGAGGTGCGCGCTGTCCGAGGCAGAACGAAAGTTCTTGTGTTCGTGGCTTTTATTTTCAGCGCTGTAATAATACGAATGTTGAGGACCCAAATAAGTCACTAAGATTATCAAAATATTTTTCCTGCTTCTCCTGGCTCGTGCAAATGTACTTTACCATTTGCGAAAATCAATGCCGCTATGCTCTAGAATGTAATGCGTCAAAAAGTATGAGTAATTTCGTTAGACTGAACAAAATTACGCGTAAACTCCTCTCAATAGTGTTATGGTAGGTCATATGATGGAGTTAGTATGCCATATGATAGTTGTCCTCTTTTAATTAGCTTCTTAGAACATCTAAGGACCTTGCATTTGCAAGAGACGAGCGATTTTATGGGAAAGGGCAACTCAGAAAGATACAAACTTACGTCCACATTCAAGACGACCAAGTTCCGCTCCTTTGTGCACTCTATTGCACGTGGCAGTGCCATGTTGAATAACCGTACTTCGGGCTCAACTGCCTTCTTTCGGAGTTGCGGTATGAGCTTGTAACAGAACACAAAATGTACTCTTTGCCTGAGGCATAGGAGCAGGTCCCGAAAAGCAAAGTCCAGATGCTAGCTGTGCTTTGCAAAAACGCGCACACTTATTGAATCATCGGAAAATATGTGATAGCATTTCTCGGTAGAAAGAACACGAAAATATAAAATTTAGCCAAAAGATGTAGATACGTCATGTTTTTCTTTGGGATCTAGTATAAAACTAAAATAACAAGACCTTGAGATAGTTGCATGATTTTCGTGTTGCACAACAAACTTTGATGTTTGCTTCAAACGACTATTGAAGGTGTCAAAAAAAAAAGAAAAAAAAAGACGGGTTTATTACGGTTATCGAACGCGGTTTTATCCAGGTTCGTTTCAACGAAAGGGGTGCGGTATATCGAAGCACGGTTTAGCGAAAATGGATACATTTTATCGAGGCCTCCGTTTGAGAAATGCTGCTTGTAGGCGGCGGCAAGCTAGGCTTCCAAACAGACCGCGCTTCGTGCGGGCAGCCCTCGCTATCGCTCGGGAAAAGTTTAATATAAGTTCGAGCGTGGATCGCCAAAGGTTGGTTAGCATGCGGGCGGTCGCCATTTTCTCTAAACGGCGATCCGATCTGCTGTTGTCGCGAAAACGGTGTTCGCTAAAACGAGCTTCCCTAAACCACACTTCTCCGAAAATCAGCACATTCTTCTCCATAGCTTACAACCATGCTGGGGTGTTGTAAGCTCTTCTTCTTTGACCAAGGCTGACCCCCTGTCGCCATTTTGCAGGTTGTTTCCGCCTACGTAGACTACCGCAAAATCGAACTTTTTGAGAGGCAACCCGTCAATGTTCTCCTTGACAGCCTGGGACGACGACGAAGCGCTCGTTCTAACGGACGTGATTTTTCTAGCTCCGCCGACATATATTTATAACTCCTAGTTTAAAAGGCACCCGCGCCCCTGAAAAGGGCCCCATGGATCAAGGGCAACCCCCCGCCACCCTCCGACCGTCGATTTTGGATCCGGGAGGGACCAGTTTGGTGAATATGGAACCCGAGACTATGGACACCTCGCTAAACCTAACGTCTGGAATGCGAGGCACGGAAACTCAGGCTGCTGCTACAGGGACAACCGCGACCACGGCGGGCCCATCGACGGAAGGCCTCCAAATTGTACTGGACCTGAACACCCTCGACAAATTGAACGAATTTGGAGTTGCGAAGGAAGATATCGGAAGGCTCTTCGTAAGCTTCTTGACCTACCTCGCTACCACACAACAAGGAAAAGGCGCGCGACCAAACGCAGCAGAAAAGGTGAGCTCATGCCTTGGACAAGAATATCCCACGATTGCTCAAGCAGCACAATTGACAAAGACCCCGCTAAAAAGCCAGAATGCTAAACCTAACGGGACAGAAGCCACCCTTTTGGCGGAAAATATCGAGGACAACTCCTGGACACTAGTCCAGAACCGGCGCCGCCGTAAACGCTCGCTGACGTCAATCGAAGAACCCGAGAAGAAAGCCGCTGCTGTGTCCATCGATGAGAGGCCAGAGAGTAAAACTACCAGGGCCATTGTCCTTAAGCCGGTATGTAAGGAGGCAGTAAATGGATTCAGAGCCAGGGACATCAGGCAGGCTGCGGAAACGGCAGGAATCGAAAGCCAAGAGGATTTCAAAATCCAGTATCAGACAAAGACCAACACTATTACGCTCACTACGCAAGAAGAATGCACGGCAGAAAAGCTGCTACGGCTTAAGGCAATAGAGAAAAACGGCAAGCAGTATACAGTTTGCCCCTACAGAGCAATGGAGAAGAACCAGATCCGCGGTGTCATATACCCCCCGGGAGACAACAGCGAAGAGACACCAGAGACGCTGCTCGCAGACATGAAATGCGACAAGGCAAGGATTATTGCTGCCCGACTTATGGGTAAAGGCACAAGTGCGGTGTTAGTTACCTTCGAAGGTAACACACTGCCCAAGAAGGTCGTCTTCTGCCAAGCAATCTTGAGCGTGAAAGAATACCGCCCGCGTTCGATCGTGTGCTTTAGCTGCCACGAGCTCGGGCATAAGGCGGATGTCTGCCCTCGCAAGGAACGAAGGTGCGGTCAGTGCGGGAACGTGCACGACGAAGGAATGGACGAGTGCGACCGAGAACCAAAATGTCGTAACTGCGACGGCCCACATCCGGCCACCAGTAACGACTGTCCAAAAAGAAGAATTCCCGACAAAAAGAAGATGACACCCAAACCTCCGGCGCAAAATAAGGAGAGTTACGCTGCAGCTGCCAAGTCCATCACGGAGCGACCCAAGGCATCGGGGAAAAACGATCAAGACGAGCTTCCCACATGGATACCGGAATGGGCGAAATCTACCCAACGACAACAGCCAAGCCAGCAGGCATCAGACTTCGACGCCGAGAAAGAGATGAATAAACTCAAGAACGACGTACACATCGGCTTCAAGATGATCTTCGAGGCCATCGGAGAGATCAAGAAGGAGCTGGCGTTGCTGCGACATGGGAAGTAACTCCCATAGCAGTACAGGACAGGCCACCACGGAACAGACCCGCATTGTCCAATGGAATTGCTGCACATTCTCGACCAAAAGTGCAGAGCTGAGGTTGAGATTCGAGAGACAGCCGCCGCCGGATGTACTCCTTCTTCAAGAAACACGAACCCCGAACCTAACGTTCCCCTGCTATAGTTTCTACACGAACCCGACCATAGTAACTACGCCAAGGCCGAGCGAAAGGAACCCAGAGACGAAGAAAGGCTGGGCAGCAGTAGCAGTCCTGCGGCACATACCACATGCTCAGCTCGATACGGCGTCACTTTGCACTGGCAACAGAGAAGTGGTAGCCGTAAGACTCAGTCACAAACGGAAGAGGATAACTTTAGCCTCCGTCTATATAAGACCAGGAACGGCAACGGAAGATGACAAGGAAGCAACGGCATGGATAGGCGAACTTGTCGGTCTAGCCGAAGGGGATCCGATTATCATAGCCGGGGACTTCAACGCTCGACACAAAGATTGGGGGTACTCCAACAGCACGAGAAAAGGCCGTCAAATTAAACGCGCAATGAAAACTGCGGGCCTTACGCTTCGCAACGAGCCGGGAACTAAGACAAGGATTGGAATGCACAGTAGGCAAAATGACTCCACCCCGGACCTCTCCTGGGCCACTGCAAGCCTAGTGCTCGATTGGTCAACGTGGAGAGACAACCTTGACAGTGACCACTTTCCGGTAGAAATGAAAATCCATCACGGACAACGCAACAGAGGCAAAGAACAAAGACCAGTAGTCAAATGGGATCGTTTTAGGGAACTGCTTGAGACAGAAGACAGCCGAGACATCGAGGAGTGCATTCGGACGGCTCTGAGCGAAGCGAAGACAGAAGTTTTAGTAAAGCCTGGAGACCCAACACCGGACAATCACCTACTAAACCTCTGGGCCAGCCGTCTACAAGCACTGCAGCGGTACCGAAAGAACAGGACACTGCATCTAAAAATCAAGCTCAAACGAGCAGCAGCGAAAGCGAGGCAGTACTCTAAACAGCTCGGTCGCGAGAGGTGGAGGTCCCATTGCGGGTCCTTCAACGCACGAAACGGGCTGGGAAGAGCTTGGAGAACTTACAAGGGACTGAACGGAGCAAAGCGCAAGACAAGAAACGCTGCGCAGAACCTGGCCCTCAAGCTTAATATCAGCGAGTCAGAGATGGCGATCAGGGCTGGAGAATTGTTCTTTCCCCAAGAAGATGATAGCGCAAACCAGAGACCGGTTGCAATGAACATTCGCACGCCAGAAGAGGAAGGAATGGAAGACCCACTAAATATGGGAGAACTAATCGACGCAATCTACACGGCGAGGACCGGTAGTGCTCCTGGCCCGGACGGGGTGACGTACCAAGCTCTCAGAAACCTACCGGAAGAATCGAAGCAGAAACTTCTCGACAAGTACAACACAGTATGGGAAGAGGGTATTCTACCGAGAGCCTGGAAACTCTCCTGGGTCACTCCAATACCCAAACCCGGCAAACTGCTTGATCTCATTGAAAATATGAGACCTGTATCTCTAACATCCAATATCTGCAAGACGATGGAGAAAATCGTACTCAGAAGGATACAGTGGTATTTGGAAAAACACGAACGCCTGGATCCCCGGCAAACGGGCTTTCGCGAAGCAATGGGGACACAAGATAGCCTCAGGTTGCTCTATGAAGAGGTGCTGGCTGAAAAAGACAAACAAGACCCACGGCTCGTGGTCGCCCTGGACATACGCAAGGCGTTTGATTCAGTGCCGCACTGGGCAGTCGTCCGGGAGGCAAAAGCATGCGGCATCCGTGGAAGAACTCTGAACTTTATACGAGACTTCCTGCGCGACAGGAGGTTCCAGGTGAAGATCGGAGGGACCATGGGCCCAGAAACGCCGATTAAAAGAGGAGTGCCACAGGGGGCAGTTCTATCGCCGACCCTTTTCAATATGGTAATGGCGGGTCTCCCAGCTCGGCTTCGAGTCATCGAAGGGCTGGGATTCACCATCTATGCGGATGATGTGACGCTCTGGACCCGAGGGGGATCCTTGGGGGAACAAGAGAGCACGATGCAGCGGGGCATAGATGAAGTAGCCACCTACCTGGCAGAGGTGGGGATGGAAGCGTCATCAGAGAAAACGCAATATATGATGGTCGCTCGCCCTAGGGACCACAGGAAAGGAATAGCAGGCTCAGTACGGCTAGAACTCAATGGACAAGAAATCGGCAAAAAGCCACATATCAGAATCCTAGGAGTCACCTTCGAGCAGACGGCAAGAAGCACGAGATGGATCCCGGAGATGGAAAAGACGTGGGCTCAGGGTCTCAAGCTCATAAAGAAAACAACAAGTAAGTCCTGGGGAGCAGATGAAAAGGCTCTACGTATCCTCACAGAGGCCCTTCTCACGTCACGAGCACTGTACAGTTGCAACTGGCTGAATCTCAACCAGACGCAATGGAAAAAACTCGAGAGACTTAACAACCAATCGAGGCGAGTAGTCACGGGCCTTCCCAAATACACGCCACTCGAAATGCTAGAAAAGGAAGCACAAATGAACAACATAAAAGACAGGGCCGAAACCCAAGCAATCGCTCAGTTTCAAAGGCTAGAGCGCACTAAACATGGACGTAGATTCCTGCAAGACCTAGGATACGAGACAAGCAACAAGCCGCCATTGGAAGAGGCGCTACCCCCGTGGCAGGACGAGGTGATAACGGATCATCGGCCTCTGCCTCAAGTTTTGAACCAAGGGAAGAGGGCTAGAGTCGCTAAGATGCACGCGGCATGGTGCGAAACACATGCGCCAAACGAAGAAGTGCGGTACACCGACGCCGCAAAGAACGGTGACAAAGTGACATCTGCCTGGCACGACGCAAGGAGAGGCAGGACACAAACCGAATTACTGCCGTCGGGCACGACGGTGAGGGAGGCCGAATTGAGGGCGATATTGGCGGCGGCCCAGGATATCGCAGGAAAGAGCGCGACGGCACCTCACGCCAGAATTTTTACAGACTCGCAAGCAGCGATTAACGCAACACGCAGCAGCAGACCAAAGGGCCGAACAATAAAAAAGATTAAGAAAGTGGCGACGGAGCTTCGCATACGTGGCACCGACCTGCACATCACATGGCTTCCCGGGCACAGCGAAATCCCCGGGAATGAGAGGGCACACAGGGCCGCAGCGGAAGAAATAGTTCACGGCTCCACGACTGGCCCGACCTCTCATTCTGAAACGAATAACACGGTAGACCCGGAGGAACAGGCTGAACTTGCCAGGCAGGCGAGGAAGGCCTACCTCAGAGGGTTGCTGCCGTCACAAGAAGACAACATGCCAACGAGCTATACCAGATGGGAAGCTGTCCGAGTCCGACGGATCAGGACCGGAACAGCATTGACACCGGCCAAACAAGCGAGCTTCGGGCTCGTCGACATCGAGGGTTCCAGATGCAAGGCCTGCGCTGGGAAGAACACCGCCACACTACGCCACCTCCTCTGGGACTGTGCAGGCCTGGAACGGCTGAGGAAGAAAGCGATCCAATCTCTTCGGGAAGAGGACAGACCGGCGACGCTCGAGGAGTGGTCCCGACCCCAGGGAACACCGCAGCACAGAAAAGCAGTCCTCGATTCCCTGATGAGCTACATCAGGGAGACGGGGACCCATCATCACATTTAATTTTTTTTTCTTTTTTTTTCACATCATTCATTTCCTCTTTCCCCTAAAACCCCATGCCCCTCCTTTCTGTCTCAGGCCACCCCGCCAAGACAGCCGAACCACTCATCTCATCAATAAACATAATTCAACAACAACAACAACCTTGACAGCCTGCACCGTCGCTCCCGAGCAGCTAAAGCTGCACACTTGTATGCAATCATCTAAAAAGCGCGGCAAAGTTATTTCACTGGGCTGCTCCCGAAGATTGCGCCTTTCATCTTCGTCCGTACCTCAGTGAAATCTTCTAAATCTCACTTCTTTGTATATCAAGGTCGAACGCTAGAGCACGTCTTTTGAAAGCAATACACCACAAGCGCACACAAGGAACTGAATAAAGACCCAGGATCGGCTGAGTGAGAAACGGCTAGCTAGACTTATTTTTGCCTCAAACATGCAGTTCGTGTTTGAAGTGCAGGCCACTATAGACTACCGAAAAGTAGCTCCTAAAGTCATTTTTACGGAACGTGCAGATGGTCTTCACCGGAGAAGAAAATTGTGGCGGAGCGCTTATTTGTACGTGTTTTACTTGTTTTCATATCTAGCATTCAACGATGCTGCAGAGTGCCACCGTGAAAACTAACAGCAAACAAAAACTAACCCAAAACAAACGAAAGAGCCAGAACCCGTGCAAACTCCACGCGAGGTCTTTCCTTTTGTTTTTACTTTGTGCACGCGGCCCAACGCTGCCCGGTGCCGCCAGCTCCGTCCAGACTAGGGATGTTGCGAACCACCCTAGGTTCGATTTCGAAAGGTTTCGATATTTGCGAAGCGAACTGAGGTTCGATTTCGAAAAATTTCGATATTTTCGTACCGACCGAGGTTCGATTTCGAAAAATTCGCAACTTTTGTCCGCAGCGGAGTTTCGAATTCGAAAATTTCGAAGCTTTCACGGTTTCTAAAATTTCGAATCCGAATATTTCGAATATTTTTTTACTTCAGGTTCGATAAATCGAAGATTTCGAAATTCTTTGTAAAAAAACTTCGAAAACTTCGAACGCTTCGAATTTTTATAGACATGAAGTTCGAACAATTTGAAGATTTCGAATTTCTTTTGGCATAAAGTTCGAAAAGTTCGAAAGTTTCGATTCTCTTTTAACGCTAAATTAAAAAAAAAAAAAAAAAAAAAAGTTTGAAGATTTTGAATTTTTTTTTAATCCAAGTTTTTAAAGTTTGAAGTCCGATTTTCAAGTTTTTCTTTAGTTTCAGTTTCGAATAACGTTTTCACGACTCACTTGTTTTCACAAAATCAAGTTTAGAAAAGTTAGGGTGTGATATCTAGATTCTGCGAAGTTGGTAAGGCAATTAAATGAGACGACGAGTGTCCCGGACGTGCTAGAATATTTGCCAGTGCAGAATTGCGACCGCCAGCCCCCGGGGGGGGGGAGGGGGGGGTCTTTATCACGCAGTAGTGATTGCACGAACACACTGTTTTACGAGACTCATCCAGTTCGAAACGGCCAGGGGCGAGCAGGAGGTTGAGGCTCAGAGAAACCTTGAAGCGACCTGGCAAACTAGCTCGCCACCCCTTGCACGCTGGTAGTAATCCGATCCGGTGAAGTTTATAATTGTACTGGAGGTTTATTTTCTGGGACGGAGGAATCGCCTCGCAAAAAGCACAAAAGGCGACACAACTCGAGGTCAAGGAGCGTTCTACCATACAAGTGGCGTCGGAAGAGGAAAAACGGGGGGAAAGAGGGTAGCAAGGGGGGGGGGGGGGGGGCTTCAGCCTCCTTCTCCCCCGTGCAGGTATTTCGGACTGTTAAAGAAAACAATACGGGGAAAGAGGGCGTGGTCGAGCTTATTTTAATCTGAAATTATTTATGCATATGTATAGCTACTGTCGCTCTTCACTGCATAAAAGGTTGCGTAGATGGTCATTGTTAGAAACTCGTTGTCAGAAGGCACTGCTCGCCACATGCTTAGTGGTTCGGAAGTTCAAAGCTGTCCTTTCGACCTAAACACCTGTGCCGATAGTAACAAAAGAAAAAAAAAAAAAAAAGAATAAATGCGGGAATAAAAAGCAGGAGAAAAAAAAAACTATCAAGAATTCGTCGGAAGTGTTCTATTCTTGCATATTCAGAGGTTCAGAACTTCGAAACAAGTTTCTTTTACCAAAATGTGTACAGGCTAAAAGAAACACGTCCCAGGAACGTGACGCGAAAAAAAAAAAAAAGTTTTCTTTTAATGACGTACTGAACTTGAACACTACTAGGAATCTTCTGCCATGAGTTAATTTATTCCTTAACGTGAAGAAACAATAAATATATTATTTTGTATTCTGCAGATGGCAATGATATGTACTGTCTGTGGTGTTAATTTAAATGCGATACCTCAAACAACTTAGACGAAAATAAATATCAAGTTTAGGTCATAATTGCAGGCAGATACATGTTTGGACATTTCTTCGAAACTCACGTTGAATAACAATAATCACATCTTAAGACGGCACTTACCTACGCTATACATAGATCATTCTTAAAAAAAAGTATAACATATCTACCATAAATAGCTCCGGCTGCAGCGTGCTTCAAATCTGGCACAAACGATAATCGTCAAAAAACCGTCGTCCGTCCTCGCCCCTTCGTGGATTTATTTCTTTAAACCTAAGCATGCCAGAACATTGAAATAAATGACATTGTCTTTCGTAAGGAACGCAGCACCGCGTGTAAAAGTTCCAGAAAAAAAATTACGAATGTACCCCACTACTTGAAATCAAATGAAACCGTCCGCCGGTCTTTCGAAGTTCGACGAACGTCGAACTTTTACCCTACCAGTTCGAAGTTCGTCGAACTTCTGACTTTTCAGAAATCGAAAGTTCGAAACTTTTCGATTTTCTTGATAAGTTCGAACGTTCGAAATTTATCGAATTTTTTGGTCACTCAAGGTCGAAAGTTCGACAAGCATCGAACCTTGCAGCGCAATAAGTTCGAAAGTTCGAAAAATATCGAATTTTTTAGCGTAATAAGTTCGACGGTTCGAAAAGCGTCGAACTTCTTAGCTTAACAAGTTCGAAAATTCGACCTCCGTCGAATTTTACGATATAGACAATTCGAAAAATCGAAATCTTTCGAACCTTTCGACCGCTTGATTCGATCATCGAAACTTCGATTCGAAAAAAGTTCGCGGCATCCCTAGTCCAGACGGACTTTGCGGGCACTGAAAGTGAAGGGAAACAAAAGGAGACAGACGCGCCCGTCTCCAACCGAGAAAAAGGAGGCAGGAGGCTTTGAAGTTGAACTGGTTGAACTTGAGCGCAGACGTCTCTGTCGACGAGCGGGCCCCGGACGGACGAGCTCACCCCAAGTTGGAGGGGAGGCAGGCGAAACCAAATTCGCGTAACCTGCCGATCGCGGCGGCGGCATTTGCACCCGCAAATGAATGGGCTTGGCAACTTACAGACTCGCAAGACTTCACACTCAATGAACCGATCAAGTTAACCAGTTGACAGAAAAAAAAAAGTGAAATAAAATATTTTGCTACGCGAAAGCGGTAGGTTTTGTACCAACAGCGACAAAGCGTCTTTACTACGGCTGATCGGACGCCGTTGTATCGAGGCTCATCTTAGCGAAAGGGGTACGGTTTATCGAAGCACGGTTTAGCGAGAGGTACACGTTTTATCGAGGCCTCCGTTAGAGAACTGCTGTTTCTAGGCGGCGGCAAGCTAGTAGTAATGCAAAACTATCGATAAATTGACCATCGATACTATCGATAGTTTTTCCAAAACTATCGATAGTGTCGCAGAACTATCGATAGTCGACTATCGGTAGTACTATCGATAGTTTTTTGATAGTCGACTGTCGATAGTACTCTCGATAGTTTTTCGACAGTCAACTATCGAGAGTTTTTCGATAGTACTATCGATTCCTTTTTTACTATCGATACTCAGTTTTCTGGTGACTATCGATAATACTATCGATAGTTTTGCACTACTAGAGCGAACACAGTTGCCGCACCGCCGCTCGCTTCCCCTTCCTCCTCTCTTCGGCCAAACCCCCGTCTTTGTCATCACTGAAAGCTGAACCGAAGTTGAGACCGTAATTGCTTGGGCTAGTTGGTGTCCCATTTGAAAAAAAAAAAAAAAATAAAGCGAGAGAAAGAGACGAGGGAGCGACGCACACTACGTCGCATAGCTATCGATAGTAAACTGTCGACAGTACTATCGATAGGTTTACGATAGTCGACTGTCGATAGTTTTCTGATAGTCGCTTAACAACAATTTTCCGATCGTCGAGTATCGATAGTACTATCCATAGATTTTCGATAGTCGACTATCGATAGTTTTTCGATAGACGACTATCGATAGTAGTATCGATAGTTTTTTTCACTATCGATAGTCAGATTTCTGGCGACTATCGATACTATCGATAGTACTATCGATAGTTTTGCACCACTACAAGCTAGGCTTCCAATCAGACCGCGCTTGGCGCGGTCGCCCCTCACTGTCGCTGGGGGAAAATTTATTATAACCTCAAGCTTGAGCGTGCACTACCAATAGTTCACCGCCAAGGGTTCGGCAATCTAGGCTAATGAACCAGGGGGATATCGGAAACGGCACCCCGGCTGCCGTCATTTTCTCTAAACTGCGATTGGATAAACTGATATCGATAAAACGGCGTTCCCTAAAAGGAGCTTTTCTAAACCGCATGCCTCCGCGACAAAACGGGAATCCGCGGAGGTAAGAGCGGCATCGAAATCCGCACATCTGAGTCCATTTGGACTGTTGGCATTTTGTCTTCGCCAACGGGCGACACAGTGCAAAAAACCCGTGCCGCGTTTTTTTTTTTTTTTTTTTTTTTTTTTACATTTGCCCCCGCTTTTTTGAGGTGTGCGTGTGCTGCGTGTGTTGCTAGAAAAGTACGCCAATTATTGAGATTCTAAAAGCAAACGTCTCGCAAGATGAGGTAATCGGATAACACTAACACTGACATTATGTCAAAGTGATAAGCTGTATCTCCCTAGGTTTACCCCCAAAATTTACAAAACGTCCTAGTACTTACACAAGATACTGACTTCGGAAGGCATTTTAGGTGTGTTTTGCTACTTTTTTTTACTTTACGAGCTACCTTGCGGATGTTAGTTTGGAACAATACAGAGGC